ACTCTTCCAAGAAACTTTGGAGCCAAACCATCTCCTTGTTGGCTTCCGTAACAGCAACATATTCTGCTTCAGTTATGGAGAGAGAAACTATCTTCTATATTTGAGAAACCCAACTCACTGCAGTTCCTCCTAGAGTATAGACATACCCTGTAGTGCTTCTTCTGATGTCGACATTTTCGGCTAAGTCAGAATCTACATAGCCTGTCAGTATCGTATCTCCACCTTTGAAACAAAGTGTTTTGTTTGTGGTACCTCGTAGATATCTGAGGATCCATTTGACTGCTTCCCAGTGTACCTTACCTGGATTATTCATGTACCTGCTAACAGCTCCCACTGCATGAGCAATATCTGGTCTAGTACAAACCATGGCATACATCGGACTTCCAATTGCTGAGGCATACGACATCTTCACCATGTATGCATGTTCTTTCTCCGTCTTTGGTGACTGTTCTTTGGAGAGTCTGAAATGAACACCTAAAGGTGTACTTACTGGTTTAGCATCTTGCATGTTGAACCTGGAGAGTACTTTATTGATGTACTCAGCCTGTGATAACATCAAAGTCCCCGACTTTGTGTCTCTCTTAATCTTCATCCCAAGAATCTGCTTTGCAGCGCCCAAATCCTTCATAGCAAATTTGCTTCGACAATTTTTGTTTCAAGTTTATAATCTCTTGCATGTCTGAGCCTACAACGAGCATGTCATCAACGTACAACAATAAAATAATGAAGTTATTGTCGAACCTCTTGATGTAGCAACAATGATCTGCTTGGCATCTGGTAAAACCACTGCTACCCATGAAACTATCGAACTTCTTGTACCACTGTCTAGGAGCTTGTTTTAAACCATACAAGCTCTTCTTCAACCTGCATATTAGGTTTTTCTTGCCTACCTCTATGAAGCCTTCTGGCTGCTTTATATAGATTTCTTCCTCCAAATCACCATGAAGGAAAGTTGTCTTTACATCTAACTGCTAAAGATGTAAATTCTCTGCAGCTACAATTTTCAACACCAGTCTGATTATATACAGTTTTACGACTGGAGAGAAAATTTAATTGTAGTAAATACCTTATTTTTGCTGAAAACCTTTGACAACCAATCTTTCTTTGTAGCGTTTGCTCCCATCATGCTCTTCTTTGATCCTGTAAATCCACTTGTTGTGGAGCGCTTTCTTGCCTAGTGGTAATTCAGCTAATTCCCACGTCTGATTTGACATAAGCGAGTCCATCTCATCTTTCATGGAAGACTCCCACTTGATTGAATCCTCCACCTGCATTGCTTCATCATAACACTCTGGTTCACCATTGTCAGTCAGCAACAAGTAGTGCAAAGAAGGCGAATAACGCTGGGTTGGTTTAGGAATTCTGGAGGAACGTCTCAGTTCTGGTGTGCCTGGTTCTTCTTGAACTGCTTCAGGACTGATTTGAACATTATTTCTAGAAATCTCCTCGAACTCAGCAAATTCCTTTGTTTCAGCTTCGGTATTGGAGTTACTTGATTCTATGGTTGCCCTGTCTTTGTACATCACATTCTCATTGAAAATGACATCTCTGCTTCTGATGATCTTCCGATTTTCATAGTCCCAAAATCGATAACCGAACTCATCACCACCATAACCAACAAAGGCATATTTGTTGGACTTGGCATCAAGTTTACTTCTTTCAGCAGAATCTATGTGTACATAAGAAATACAACCAAACACACTTAAGTGTGAAAGGTTTATTTCTTTCTTGCTCCAAACTTCCTCTGGTATTATGTCATCCAAAGGAACTGAGGGCCCACGGTTGATCAGGTAAGCTGCAGTGTTGATAGCTTCAGCCCATAGAAATTTGGGTAATCCGGCATGTATCCTCATACTTCTGGCACGTTCATTCAGAGTTCTACTCATGCCCTCTGCTATGCCATTCTGCTGCGGTGTCATGGGAACTATTGTCTCCATCTTGATCCCATTATTTGCGCAGAAATCTCTAAATCTACGATTTCTATACTCTCCTCCATTGTTAGACCTCAACCGCTTGACTTTCAGACCGAAATCTCTGAATCTACGATTTCTGTACTCTCCTCCATTGTCAGACCTCAACCGCTTGACTTTCAGACCAATCTCATTTTCCACCATGGCCTTCCATTTTTTGAAGGTATCAAAGACTTCTGATTTCTTCTTTAGAAAATAAACTCACACCTTCCTTGTAGAATCATCGATGAAGATGACATAATATAATGAGCCTGCAAGAGATGGAACTGGAGATGGTCCCCATACATCAGTATGAACCAACTCTAACTTTTCAGCCTTGGGTATCTTACCAATCTTTGCAAAGCTGACTTTCTTTTGTTTGCCAAAGATGCAATCCTCGCATAGTCTGACATCTACATTCTTTAGATCCGACAGCTTCCCTTTTGACAAAAGTGTCTTCATCCCTTTCTCACTCATATGACCAAGCCTTTGGTGCCATATGTTTGATTTTCCATCAGCATCTGTTGCAACAATGATATTCTCTAAGTTTGATGTTATATAGAGAGTACCAGTCTTCTTACCACGAGCAATGACGAGTGCTCATTTGGTAATCTTCCATTCACAGCCTGAAAATGTTGTACTATAACCTTCTCCATCAAGCTGTCCTACAGAAATCAGATTTCTTTTGAGGCCAGGAATATGTCTCACTCCTTTCAGCGTCCAGGTGGTTTGGTTTGGCAACTTTAGTTGGATGTCTCCTTTTCCGACGATATTCAAGGTTTCATCATCAGCTAGATGAACCTTCCCAAAATCACCACTGACATAGTTCTCCATGATTTCTCGGCATGGGGTGGAGTGGAAAGATGCCCCTGAATCCAAGATCCATGATTTAATCGGACTGCTGACGCTTAGAATCATGGCAACACCTGTCTCCTCTGTCACGTTGGCAGATTCTTGTGCGCCAGTATTTTTCTTCGGTACTCGGTAATCTCTTTTAAAGTGACCCTTCTTGCTGCAGTTATAATAGGTAAAATCTTTCTTTCCCGTTCTTTATTTTCCCCTTTTGGATTTGGATCTGCCACGATTTGAATTTCTTTCTGAAGTTCTCCCTTTGGACTCCGTGTGCAAGGCTGAGGAGGTTGATGCTTCACCCGATTCTCTCCGTCGAATTTCTTCGCTCAGTACCAGATCCCGAACATCGTTGAATTTTAATTTGTTGTTTCCCGACGAGCTGCTAACTGCTGTAACAGTAGCATTCCAACTGTCTGGTAGAGATGATAAGAGAATTAAAGCTCGAACTTCATCATCGAATTCAATTTCCACGGAACTCAACTGGGTTGTGATTGTGTTGAATTCATTCAGGTGTTGAGCCATTGATACCCCTTCTGCCATCCGTAAATTAAATAATCGTCTCATCAAGTGAACTTTGTTTGAGGTTGATGGCTTCTCATACATACTGGAGAGAGCCGCCATAAGACCCGTCGTGGTCTTTTCCTTTGCTATGTTGAAAGCAACATTGCGGGACAACGTCAGTCGGATAACTCCGAGGGCTTGTCTGTCGAGAAGAGCCCAGTGTTCATTCTTCATGCCCTCAGGTTACTTTCTTGAGAGAGATTGATATAGATTTTTCTGGTATAAAAAATCTTCAATTTGCATCTTCCAAAAGTCAAAGTCTGCACCATCGAATTTTTCAATTTTCACATTCCCTTCGTCTGCAGCCATCGCTCCCACTCGAATCTGGTTTCTTTGGATCGTTTCTGACAATTTGTGCGAACCACCGTGTATTATGACACATCCGTCGACAAACTCGTATCACCGACAAAATTTTTACTATTCACAAAATTTACTATTTACTATTCACGTGAATAGTAATGAATAGTAACCTCGCAAAAAATTGACAAAATTCACAACTAAAAACTCTGATACCAGTTGATGGGAAATAAACTGAGTAACGAGTAATTTTCCTATAACCAGATTAGTAAGAATGCGAAATAAAAGCAGAAAAATAATACCCGAAATTGATAACAGAGTTCAGTCAATTTGCTTACGTCTCCAGACTGCTGCAGATCTTTTACTAAGAGAGAAAATTTACAGGTGTTTACAAAACACTCACTACTCACAAGAAAACTCTCTAGTATTGGGAGAAAGAAATGATTTTTGGGATGATTTTGAAACTAAATGAGTTGGGGTATTTATAGTTGAAGCTTGAGGACTAATCTTATAAATATCTTAAAGTTTAATGACTCAATTTAGTGATTATCCCTTGCCCAAATTCAATAAAATAGGCTGCCTAACTTTGAAATTTAAAGCAGCCCCCACTTTTGAATTTCAAGCAACCACCTGCTGCTAGCATTATTTGACCAACACCCTTGCCAAAGAAAACATGTCTTTCGTCACAAATTGCAGCAGTGTAGGGACTTCACCAAACAACAGCCAAATTTCCACCACAGCAAGTGTCATTAAAGACTGGTCCTACAGAACTAGATAAATCGGTTGGAGAATTCCCATACAAGGAGGCGAAGTCCGCCATTGAAACTCGATTTATTTCATTTTTTAGGTCCAAAAAACCTGATTAAGAATGTAACAATACAACTGCTATAGACATATTAGAGTAAGTTGTGTCTTAACATCAAGATGTCAAGGCTTTAATAACACAGATAGAGGTGATAGTCCTCCCTCTTGGCAAATAACATTGCTCTGATTCCTTCAGTTCACCTATCAATGTGTAGGGACCTTTTAATAATATTACTACCCAATATTTATATATTTTAAAATAGTCTGTATTCTAATACATTTTGTTAAAGCAATATTTTTTTATAATTAATTAATTTTTATATATTTTTTCCAAGTTAATATAAAATTTTACTTAAAATTCTGTTCTTGGAGTAATCAAAATTGAACTCGAAAGAATAAATAAAAATTAAGTTATAAATTAAGATTTATCTAGCCGACTAATTCGATGTTATAATTTGTGTGAAGGATCAGATTGTTTATAAATAGCGAGTTAGCTCTCTTTCTTTTCCGTTTTCTCATTAAGAAACGAATCTCTTTACTTACTTCTAATTCACTCCCTCTTGCTTCAATCTTCAATATCTTCTGGCCCAACAAAATCCCATGAATTGAACCGACTCCCAAGACCCTTGGGTGTGCGTGTGTGCCCAGTTTGTGATTTTCCTAGGAAAAAAATGGAAAATTTCGGTGGGAAAAAGACACCCACCATCAATCTCAAGCTGTTCACCGCTATTTCGGATTCTTTTTCCCCAAGGAACTTCCAAGACGGTGTGGTTGGGCTAGGCATAGTTGCGGCTATGACTGATGAAACCCATACTCGCCAACCTATTTGCTTTTCCCTGTCGCCGAGATACACCGCCACCCCCGTGCCTACAGCCCCATCTGTTAAACCGGCACCCAATTTCCGAGGTGGCTCTAATCCGGAGAATTCCGGTGGATTATCTCGGAACCCCACTTGTGTAATTTCTAATTCTGGCGATAATAGCAACAATTGCAGGCCTATGGGTCAATTCAAGAGGGAGTTTTGGAGTGATGACTTTCTGGCTTATTGTCATCTTTGCCAGAAGGAGCTTCATGGTTTGGATATTTTCATGTACAGGTATTGGTTTTTAACCATCTTTTGACTGATTTATTTTTCAAGTAATATTGTTTTGATACTTGTTTCTTTTCAGTCCAGTTTTTGTTAATTTTTTTACTGAATTGTTGCTGATTTACAAACGAATTGATATGTAAAATGGTTTGACTATTACTTGGATATGATTCTGCAAGTTTGCAGCTTTACTGAGTAGAAATAAATCTCTTGGTTAAGTATAATTAACTAGTGTTTATTTATTCAAAAGCTTTACAGTTCATTCTTGTCTTTGGAAAGGTATCTAAGGGTCCAAAGGTCTATATGCTTTAATAGGAAATGCTATGATAGAAACTAGAAAGGAGAACGATGAGTGGCCTTGCCTGATACTTGATAGTCTTCTAAATAAACTGCTACAGGCCGATTCCACTAAATAAACTGCAAAGGGCAGGCCGAAGTCACTAGCATGCTAACTTTTCTGCTTCGTCAGCCATCACCGGTAGGGATACTTGATTTCGATCTTGTGTTCTAGTCGCAAATAACGCCTTCTCCGATGTGATTTGTGAACTTGTTACTATTTTGATATTTGCTAAGGAAGATGAAACCGAATCGCCATAAATTTTGGTTCCTAAGCTTTGTTTTGAACATCTTAAGTGCAGTCGTTCTTTTCTGTGTCTTCCAGATCAAAACATTGGCTTCCTTTTCCTTTTCGCTGTATTGTTGGAGTTAGGGAGTAGCGATCACACTACGGACGTCTGCCGTATATTTGTTTGACAGACATAGTACTTAATGTAAAATGAAGAGTCATTTTAATTGGGTAGAAAACTTATACCAAGTGTTCTGTTTTGGTCATTTTGTTCCTGAATTTGAATGGTTATACCGTTCTGCTTGAGATACTTTTTGATAGCGAAATATAACAACAATGATAATAACAAACGTCTGCTGCTTATATTTGGTGTTGATTTTCTGCTTTTGAATTTATCTACCACAAGACAATATTTCCTTTCTGGCGTCCCCATAGCCAGCCTGTATTTCATTTGCTTTCGGGGGAATACAACAATATATTGATACTGATGGCATCAAAGGATCTTTTCACTAATACAAAACATTGAATTGGCAGAGGGGAGAAGGCATTTTGCAGTGCGGAATGCCGTGACAGGCAAATTACGTACGATGATGATCGCAAACAAATATTTGGGGCTGAAGCCAGGAAATGGAAACCACTTGATTGCTCCAAGTCCACACCCCACTGTTCTGGCCGGCAGGTGTTGTTTGCCGTGGTTGCAGCGGCATAGACTATTACTTAATTGTTACCGGACGTGATACAATAAATAAAAGGAAATAATACGCAACTGCAGAATTTTGGTAGGCTTTTGAGTTTCAGTTTCAGCATCTCTTAGTGTGTGTGGAACCAAAATCATATGATATTTCCTTTTGGCATTTCAGCTTACTGTATGTAGGAAAATCATATAGCATATTTATATGTATTATTATGAAGAGTTAAGTTATGAATATCATAAAATCCACATGTTGGAAATTTTATTTTAGAATGTCAGCTGACCAAAAAACTGAGATGAAGTTTCATGTCCATGAATCATCAATGAATATGAATGGCTTTCCACTACCAGCTTTCCCAAAAACAAAGACAGCTACATGTCTCAGACGGCAAAGCTGAAGACGAAGAAGAATAATAACCCTTGTAAGCAGTAGCACGCCTAAATCAATATGCAAGTAGATGTGTGATCAACCTCTTAAAAGAACATTTAAACTTAAAATAAAAATAATTATAATATAATCTTTTAATAAATAAACGCCCATATGTATTGACATGAAAAAATAATAATTAGTTGCATAAAAATCTCTTAGTCGAGCTTAATAGAGGAATCCATACTAGAATTTGACTATTGTCTTTTAATAACTAAAAATGGAACCCTAAGAATCCATCTGCCTGACAACTAGGGAATCCAAAATTTTGAGTTCTAAGCTCCACACAAACTTATGTAAACGTCTGAGCTAACAACATACCTTACGGGATGAGGCAGTTCTGCGGGTTGAAATCAGTATATCCAACATCAACAAGACATAACCCATCAGGAGGTGCTGGCGGTGCCGTGGCACGTCTACACGTAGCCTCCATCAGTTTTAGCAATGCATCTTCTTCTGCTCCTGCCGCTGCTTCCCTTACAGAGGTTGCCACAAGAACGCGGACCATCTATTATATTTGGTTAGATACCATAAGAATGAAAGTTGGGCAAACGGTGAGCACAGAATGTAATGATGTTATAACCTGAGAAATAAATACTTCTTCTCTAGCACTTAACGATGGTTCATATGTTTCCAACATCACTCCATTAATAAAAAAAATAAGGATATAGGAACAATTTGATCTAAAATTCTGGAAAAAGCACAACCATAGGGAACATTCAAACAAAACATCTGTGTATACCTTGCGTAGGAATCGATTTGCAACCAGCTCAACACACATAACCTTTTTCCCTTCCTCATCATCCTACAAAAAAAGTTTATCCTATCAGTGGTGTCTACGCATCAAATATTAATAGACAAATATAACCGGATTTATCCCATCAAGAAGTTAAAACGAAAAAAATATGAGTCAGAACTTATAGTACATGCTCATGTATAAATGAAAACCAATTGGACGCACAGGACTTGAAGGGGCTCAAATTATAAAGGTTCCAACACAGTCAGAAAAACTCAGAGTATACATTACACCCTACAGCCTTTTATCCCACATAACCTTTTTTCCTAATTGGTTAAGCAAGTTACATAAGGAGGTAATATTTCAACTTTGACGTTGTAATTGTCCATAAATTAGTATTACAATTTGCAATTATCCACAAAAAGAGTAATATACTAATCCAAAACCATTAGGTCTTTTACCTTGAAAATAAAGAAACACAACCATTGATCAGCTCTCACAAAATGCAGGCACAGACATGCATATAGGCAAGCAAAGCTTGGGAGAGAATAATGTTGGAATTCCTAAAATTAAGGGCAGAATCTTTACCTTATTTCAAAATGCAGGCACAGACATGCATATAGGCAAGCAAAGCTTGGGAGAGAATAATGTTGGAATTCCTAAAATTAAAGACAAAATCTTTACCTTATTTCTAGGAGCTTACTTTTTAAATAGACACTAATCTTAAGTTACTAATTAAAGTTACTGATTTTTAGGGATTATTTCCTATTTCGTACTAATTCTTTTCCTTAAAAATGTAAACTATCAACAGAGAATACAAATGAGAACAACCTTTCTTCTTAATCTTGTTCATGGTATCAGAACTCTAGGATTCTTTCGATCCTACTCCTTCGACTCTGATCTCTCACCTTAAAAATCCCTCCTATTCAGTCTTTCTCCCATGGGTGACAAAACTCTATTCGAATATGAGACTTCACAAGTAACTCAAAATATCAATCACATAACCACTCAAAGTGACCTTAATTCCTCTCTTATAATCACCAATCACGTCTAGATGAAAATAACTTCTTACAATGATCTCAATCTATTCTTATAGTGATTCGAGGTCGTGGCAAACTAGGGTACATCAATGGAGAAATCCCACGACCAACCATGGCAGATCATGCTTATGTTACATGGGAGCTCAACAACTCAATTGTAATGACTTGGCTGATCAACTCAATGGAAAGCCACATAAGTCGTACTTATCTTCTATTCAAGACTACAAAAGACATGTGGGATGCAATTAAGGAGAACTACTCCGATCTGGGAAACACTTCTCAAGTATTTGAGATCAAACTCAAATTAAAGGATACTCGACAGGGGACATTTAAAGTAACCCACTACAACAATTTGAAGATCCTGTGGCATGAACCTGATATGTATTATGAGGCAGACTAAGGTGAAGGCTAGGAACACACCAAGTTTATGACACACCTCAACAAGGAACGACTCTATGAGTTCCTGCAGGGCTGAAACGAGAGTTGGATGAAGTCCGTGGAAGTATGGCAAAACTCCTCTACCAACTATCGGTGAAGCATTTGCAGAAGTTCGAAGAGAAGAAAATCGTCACCGAGTCATGATGGGGGGACGTGAAGGAACCTAAACTTGTGACCACTCTTGGTCACGGTCTTGCTGAAACTTCAACTATTATCTCTAGGGTCCACAATCCCAGAAAACCCGAGTTGGAAGTGATTCAGGGCCAGCCCGACCATGGTGTAGTCACTGTAACCATACTGGTCACACAAGAGAAAAGTGCTTCAAGCTTCATGACTATCCTAGAAACACAAAAAATCATAAGGACAACAAGACAACTTTGTTATCTTCCAGCACTTCATCGACTACTACTTATGATGTCTTAGATGTTCACCTAACCAAGTCTCAACTCGAGACTCTCCATAAGATGCTTGGTATATTGACTGCTCATGGATCTTTAGCCTCTCAAGGTACTGCCCTCAATATTACCTCTGAATCTAATAACCAGCCCTCCTGGATTCTCGATTCGGGTGCCTCCTATCACATGACAGGTAATCCCACCCTATTTCACACCAACACCCTTGTCACAACCAATCTCGAATCCAAATAGCATATGGATCTTATTCGCCTGTTGTTGGAGTTGGAGCAGTACAACTTATCAAGAATTTCTCACTCGAGAAAGTCCTACATGTTCCAAAACTATCTTGCAACTTACTTTCAATTAGAAAGCTTAATAAAAAAGAGAATGTACTTGCTAAATTTTCTGCCATTGGTTGTGTGGTACAGGAACAGAAATCGGGGAGGATGATTGGCACTGCTAAGGTTGATGATAGACTCTATATGGAATAATGTTAATAAAAACAATATAAAAGGAGGATTGGCTTTATTGGCTTCAAATGAGGACACTATTATGTTATGGCACCATAAGTTAGTTCATCCAAACTTCTTGTATTTGAAGAAATTGCTTCCTCTGTTATTTAGAAATAAAAATACTAGTTCCTTGAAGTGTGAAATCTACCAATTATCAAAGCACAACTATGTACCATACCCATTAAAGCCCTATATCCAATCCCAACCGTACTCCTTGATACACAGTGACTTATGGGGAGCTAGTCGAGTGAAAAATGTTACAGAAGCTAAGTTGTTTATATCCTTTATAGATGATCACACTAGAGTCTGTTAGGTCTATCTCCTCAAGGAAAAATCCAAGACACCTAAAATGTTCCAAAGCTTTCATTCCATGATTCGAACTCAATTTAAGTCTACCATACATGCACTCCGCATTGATTATGGGAGAGAATACTTCAACTCTGTTTTAAGCCCATACCTTCTTGACCAAGGCATCATACACCAAAGCTCTTGTCCTGACACACCACAACAAAACAAAATTTCCAAGAGAAAAAATCGACACTTCCTAGCCGTTGCTTGAGCCCTAATATTTACCATGAATGTTCCAAAATACTTGTGGGGAGGGGCAGTCCTCACTGCATGTTACTTAATATACCGAATGTCATCCAAAGTCCTAAACCTCCAAGCACCTCTAAATAACCTACAAAAAGCATTTCCCCTATTTCGAGTTCCTACCCTTCCAGCCAAAATATTTGATTGCAAAGCCTTTGTCTATAATCATCAACCAAATCAATCTAAACTTGATCCTCGAACCCATACATTGTCTTCATTGGCTATTCTCCCACACAAGGGTTACAAATGCTATTCACTAACTTTGTGTGGTGTATTTGTCTCTCAGGATGTCACCTTCTTTGAAACCAAATCTTATTTCGCAACATCTAATCTTTAGGGGGAGACTCTCAATGAAGTTGAGACTCTTAATACCCTCCTTATTCTACCTCATGATTCTACTTCCACCATTGTTATCACAAAAAAACCTAACCATGGTATTCTCATAATTGTCGATTTAGACTTCTTTCCTCACAGCAACAGGAAATTAATACTACCCTTCCCAATAGTAACCTTCCCATCAAAAAGCAACAGTTCCTTGGATTAGAAAAACAACAACAACAAGCTCCTGAACTTCTTGTATACTCTCGACGTCGTCATTCTCCTGAAACAGAGACAACACTGCCAATTCCATCCCCAACCGAGGACTGTTATGTACCAGAGGTCTCCCTTGCTTCATCATCCATTGATCTTCCAATTGCAGTTCTAAAAGGCATAAAGAGACGCACACAACATCCTATTTCTCAATTTGTATCCTATGGAAATCTATCTAAGTCCTATGACTAATGTTGATCGTGTAGAGACTCCAAGAAATGTAAAAGAAGCACTTGAATCAACCTAGTGGAGACAAGTTGTGATGGAAGAGATGAATGCTCTCAAAAGCAATGGAACGTGGGAAGTCTCTGAATTGACTAAAGGGAAAAACAATAGGATGCAAATGGATCTTCACCACAAAAGTTAAACCAGATGGCAGCATCGATCGACACAAGGCTCGGCTTGTGGCAAAGGGTTTCACCCAAACCTATGGTCTAGTCTACGACGAGAAATTTGCTCCAGTTGCCAAACTGAATACCATTTGGGTCCTCCTATCTCTTGCTGTCAACCTTGATTGGCTCTTGACTCAATTGGATGTAAAAAAACACATTCCTCAATGGTGAATCAAACGAGGAAGTATGTATGGACTTCCTACTCGAGTTTGAAGAAAGGGTCGAGTGTGTAAATTGACTTGTGGCAAAGGGTTTCACCCAAACCTATGGTCTAGTCTACGACGAGAAATTTGCTCCAGTTGCCAAACTGAATACCATTTGGGTCCTCCTATTTATTTCTGTCAACCTTGATTGGCCCTTGACTCAATTGGATGTAAAAAACACATTCTTCAATGGTGAATCAAACGAGGAAGTATGTATGGACTTCCTACTCGAGTTTGAAGAAAGGGTCGAGTGTGTAAATTGAAGTCCTTATATGGGTTGAAACAATCCCTGAGGGCATGGTTCAGTCGATTTAGCAAAGCCATGACCAGCAAGAGATATTCAAGGGCAGGCAAACCACACTATGTTTTACAAACACTCGGGAGAGGGAAAATGCTATATTCTTGTCATTTAAGTTGACGTTATAATCCTAACATGAGATGATTCAAGTGAAATTAGAAGTCTAAAAGAATTCCTCGGCAAAGAATTCGAGCTTAAGAACAAGGAAAATGCCAAATACTTCCTTGGAATGGAAGTAGCAAAGTCTCAAACATGTATTTTTATTTCCCAAAGGAAATATGTTCTTGATTTACTATTGGAAACTGGCATGATGGGTTGCAAGCCAGCCGAGACTCTTATGGAATTTAATTTGAAGTTAGGGACTGGTGCGGATAGAGAAGAAGTAGACAGGGAGAGATATCAACGGCTAGTAGGAAAACTCATCTAACCTATCACACACTCGTCCTGATATAGCTTTCGGTATGTGTCATTAGTCAATACATGCACGCTCTGAGGGAGAAGCACTTAGAAGCCGAGTACAAAATGTTAAGGTACTTGAAAGGGACTCTTGATAAAGGTCTACCCTTCAAGAAAACAACCAACCGATATGTGGAGATCTACACTAATCTAGATTGGGCAGGTTCAGTAAATGATAGTCACTCTACAAGTGGGTATTGTAGCTATGTATAGGGTAACATCATGACATGGAGAAGTAAAAAACAATTTGTTGTAGCTCGTACCAGTGCAGAGGCTAAGTATCGAGCATTATCTCATGGTATATGTGAAGAAATTTGGATACAACGACTAATAAGGGAACTAAAAGTGTCATATATCAGACTTATGAAGATGTACTGTGACAACCAGGCAACTGTCAGTAGAGCAAATAACCCAGTTCACCACAATCACACCAAACATGTAGAAATAGATCGCCATTTTATCAAAGAAAGAATCAACTCAGGAGAAGTGTGCATAACCTACTTACCTACTAAACAAAAAGTTGCAGACTTGTTACTAAGAGCTTGAATAAAGGTATGCTTGAGGATCTTATTGCCAAGTTGAGTTTCATAAACATCTACACTCCAGCTTGAGCTTGAAGGAGAGTGTTGGAATTTCTAAAATTAAGAACATAATCTTTACCTTATTTCTAGGAGTTCGCTTTTTAAATAGACTCTAACCTTAAGTTATTGATTCTTAGGGATCATTTCCTATTTTGTACTAATTATTTCCTTAAAGCTGTAAACTATCAGAAGAGAATACAATTGAGAACAGCCTTTATTCCTAAGTTTGTTCAAATAAAATTAGCAAATATTTAAAACAAGCCCAACTTATCAACTTAATTCAATCCCTTCTATTTATAAAGTTGTTTTGGAATGATTATTTATTGATCTAGCAAAATGAGGAAAAAGTTAGAATTACCTATGCAAAAATTACATTTTAATTCATATGACAATACCTAGGAGAAGGCTACGCTTCAACATGAGATGAAGTTTTAGCAACGAAAAACTGGTGAAAAGCCTATATATATATATTATCTATTGCATGTGAAGTCTATATGAAAAATCTTTTTTGAAATCTAATGACAGCAAAACTTTAGTCATGTTCATCCTTAGGGGTGTATAGCAAGGAACAAAGGTTTGCAACATTGATAACAGTAAGAGATATTTACTGAAGAAGGTATTCTTGCTTCTGCGGCTCGAGCATGGTACATGAAGCACTCCGTTGGTGGCCCTCTGAAATTAATATTTATAAGAAAAACTGTCATTAAACAATTACATGGCAAAAGCAAATGATGATGATGATGATAAATCAACTGGCTTATGTACCTTGGGGGATAAAAGAGATAAAATACTCTACACAACACAAATTGCATGATATATATGAAATACTCGATGAATCTACAAACAGAAACCTTTTTATATATATAATTTGGAGGTTGGGGGTTGCTAGGGTCTAAACCCAAGTTTTCTTGTCCTCCAAATTTTCAGTTTTCAGTTCTTGCAAAAGTCATAAGATTCCAGTATCTTTGATAATCCAGAAGAAGAGTATGGCAATTGGCAATCCGCATTACTATATCTCAACTATGAATTTCTTGATGATGTCAACTTTGTTTGACTCTTACATGTTTCTAGATGCTTTGGTATCACGTGCAAACATTCTGTATGACAATAATTTTCCTTCTAGTTTCCGTAATAGCTGATTAACCCTGCATACACTGAAACTGCTTGGCTTGTATGCAGCTTCAGACTCTGTACTATTGCTGATAATTACATCCTCAACATTTTCCAAACTAATGCTCTCAACACACTTGTTACTTGGCTCAATATAGTTTCCAGCAAAACTAGATTTCTCAACTTCCTTCTCATTCTCACAACATTGCTTCTCATTTTCTTGATCATTCAAAGGAAAAATATACAAATAGCGCCTCCATTTTGCAGAGAAGTTGGGATGGAATACACGTGAAACCTACAATGATTCAACAATAGTTGCTAATGTATAGGAGTAATTATTACAGATAAGCTTTGCAGTTGCTGATATCCAGGAATATTTTTCTGCTTGGATAATCGCCATTCATAAAAAGAAACCATTACCTCAGAAACTGATACAACTCTGAGTTTCCCAGGTGCCGCACTATTGATTGCATCTTCAATATCACAAGGTTTTACATCCTGTCTCCAAGTATCTGAAAAAAAAGGTGGGAGAAAAATAAGATACAACTGTAGGAAAAAAATTTGGGAAAACAATTCATACAATCCCAACAACCTTAACCAGAACATATTCTATTTCTATCATGAGATATCTTACAAACTAGACTGCTTCATCATTCGCTATGATACCTAAACCTTGGCTAAATATGATCATTTTCACAATAAATCAAAATCACCAAGTGTTAGGAAAACGATGGAGTGGACTAGGGAGGAAATAGTAGTAAATCAATACAATGAAAGCTGAAAATGAGTAAGATAGAAGTTGGAACTCTAGAAAAACATAGGCTTATAATAACCACTAGTTTTTTAAGTCTTTTAATTAACATACCACATCTTCCTTTCAGGCTTGAACTAAATTAGCATAAAACTCTCGAACAACTAGGATCACTGCATCTACAGGATGCATACAGAATTACTTTCAGGCTTGAACTAAAACATCTTAATTTCCACAATATGAAGTAACTCACTGTCTCTTTGGCGCCATGTCACAAATTCACAATTATGCAACTAACTTATAAACATCTCAACCAAAAATACTCCGTAGTTTTCTAAGGATTTCAACTGACACTGCAAACCAAAGAACTAAGCAATTCTAATCTTGATTATCAACAAGTATCCGGAATCATTTTCAATAATTCAAGAGATTCAAAAGGTATCTAATTCTAGCAATTTCTCAACTAATCCAAAACAAATTCACAAGCAGTTCTCAAGATCAACCAAAAAATCACAAGATAGAACTAGATATGAAGCTGAAATCAGTCAATGAAGAGAAAAAAAACTAAAGAGATTAATTATCTAAAACGAGGATTAGAACACTTTTTTGAATGATTTTCCTTTTGATTCCAATCTTGAAAGAGATGTTAAGCCTCAGGAAAAATATGAAAACAGAATGACTAGGGCCAACCATCTTAAAGGGAAATTAAGATGGATTCAACGCATTAAATTAAATGTTCATTAAAGGAAGATGAAAACAGCAAAAATCCGTAATAAAACGTGCCACAACATACAGAAAGAACAAACTTGCTGAATAGCAGACACTCCTTTGTCGGTCCGGCCTGCAACCAAGGCACAACCTTCCGGTGGTTTAGATTTTTCCTTCAGAAGTTGTGCTTTCTTGTCATCAACAAATCTCCCAAGAGATCTTTCAACTATTCTGTAGAGTGCATTCAAGTAAGAGATAGATCATTCAATTTTCAGTTTACATAAAATCAAAGGGGAAAAACAGCTTACTCCTGAGCAGTGTTCAAACCAGGCTGCTTCTGCCATCCATCAAATGCACATCCACTGTATGAAACAATTATCTTGAAAGTTACTCTTTTCCATCTTCCAGTCCTTTCTTCTCTTTCATCACAAACCTCTAATTTTTTAAAATCATCGTCAACAACATCACTACACGTCTGCCATCAAAACTTAGTTGAATAAATGCAAGCAACAAAAGGGTTAACTAAATCTAAAAGAAACAGACAGATACCTGAATGTCATTGCCATTGGCAGTGCCTGTGCCGAATAACGTTGATAAGGTTAAGCAGCCATTGACCACATCGGAATAGAAACGGCAAACGTCCTGCCAAGGTCGCTCATACATGAACTGATAGCTCTCTCTAGCAGTCCACCTTGCAGAACTGCAAGAATCAGTGTGGTTGTAGTGAAAATAAACCTTGTTTTCCGTTTGGTTTTCCATGGATGATATTGATGCTATGGCTCTGAAGTTCCCCAGTCTACTGATCAAAGATGCTAATGATTTTACGGTAAATGATGACATCATGTACCTCTGCCTCTCTCGAATTCAAGAAATCACCGTAGCGATACCTAATTCATTACTCGCTCCGATCAAAACAGATTTCATAAAACGGATTCGGGTATTATTTAGTATTAGGGTTTAACAAGTGATAATGAGACGGTACGCGTCATTCATAAATTGTCTACAATACATTTTATGCTCAATATTCAAATAAGCGAATAAATTATATTTAAAATTAATTTTTAGTGTTTGAATAAACTTTTGCTAAAAATAGTTATTTAATAATTTTTTTTTGTTACAGATTAAATTTTAAAAAATAATTGAGCGATATATATTACGTTTATATTTAAAAAATAGATATATTTAAATATTATTTTATTTTTAAAAATAATATATATATATATAAACGTGACATGTGTCACTAAACGACCTTTTTTAATGTTAGACACCTAAAAACATAAAAAAAATATTAGACATCTATTTTTAATAAAAAATTCTTTAAACATCAAAAGTCAATTTTATGTATTGTTTAGACACTTATTTTTATATTAAAATAACATTTTATAATTTTATTTTATATTTGTATTTTTACCCAAAAATCACATAAATATTATAATATTACCTGTCAGACAGCATTTCCTCAAATTTTGCCAATCTAGCACCTTTAGTGATAATAAGGCATGTTACGTGAAACACACCTTTACTTAGGTGAACCGAAGGCGCATCCCTTAGAGTGTGCCTTCTAGCGAAAATGTTAACATGGCACCACGTGGGAAGGCGTGTTTCAAGGGATGCGTCTTTCGGGGTTTTCTTACCACATGGTCCACATCAAATTCCCTAAAAAATATTTTAAAAAAATATACTTTAAAAATTTATAGGGACTACCATCGTAATTTAATACATATTAGTTTAATGAGTTAAAAAGCTTAATGAGATTAGTTTATATAGGCATATTGGAGTATTTATGTTATGTTTCTTGACAATGTGAAATAAAAGTATAGGTTTTATTACCACATCAGATTCCCTAAAAGTATTTTAAAAAACATGCTTGAAAAATTAAAAATTAAAACTATAGAAACTAACATCGTAATTTAATACATATTAGTTCTATGAGTTGAAGAGCTTAATGAGGTTAGTTTATATAGGCATATTGGAGTGTTTAGATTTTGTTTCTTGACAATGTGGGATAAAAGCTAAAAGGTGTATTCTTCAATGTTAGTCACACTTACATAATCTCAGTAGGGGTCCACATAATTGCATAGTTATGGTAATCTTGTATAATCAAACCATAGATGAATTTTCATTTCCCTCCCAATTAAATTCCCATCCTCACTCCCTCTTATGCACACATTAATCTGCAGAGTATATGGCTTATCCGGTGTTGTTCCAAAGAACTCAATAGCAGCTGAAAACTATGATAGAGATATGCTTGTATATCAGTTTACTATCAGCTAACTGTATCAACCGTGGCTAGTAAATTTTGTACATGTTAAGCTTTGAGCTATTGGCTTGTTCTATGTTTAATATAGAGGAATATGACAAAAAATACATGTTGGAATATTGCGTCCTTTTGAAGGTCTATAAGTACAGTAGTTAACATTTTTAAAGCAATATTTTGAAGGGTTGGTCATGCTTTCATCCAACTCCCTATTTGCGACAGGACAATCTTTCATATTTTTTCACCATTTGTCTAATTTGTGTGCTAATACTTTAAATTGTATTGGCTTCAACTTTCCATTGGCAAGACGCTTGACTTACGTCCTATTAATTTCTATTACACATAAGTTGATCAAAAAGTCATTGCATATTTGCACTCTTATACCATTACCCACACTAGCTATTATCAATGAGTAAAACGATTTAATATATTATTAATTACTTGTGCATCACCTGTTGTGGGGTAACTGAAGAAGAACTCAAGGGTTTATCATGCAAGCAGAACTTTTTGAAATAAGCAAAATAAGTCTTGGGATAACTTGAGGAAATCAATAATTTTCTACATCCATTCAAAATCAAAGTGAAAGTTACATATAAACAAAACTTTCAACATAAGCTTCTACTTATTGTGTTGAAAAGATTACGAACTGTTTTCTAATTGATCTATATCAGCTTCAAAAGTTAATTTAGTATCTAATACTTTTTTATTATGTTTCTTGACAACTTTCTATATAAACCTCACATTTTACATGTTGATAACACCAAGCAATACTTTTTATCATATTTTATATTAGATTCAACTTAAATTATAGATCTAATTAATCATATTCAAAAAATAATACATTTATATGTCAATGAAATATTTTTAATTTTTGTTACATAAATTTTTTGAACTCGTCATTAAAAAATAAGTATTTAAATATATTAACATATAAAAATATATAATCTTAATTAATAAACCTTAATAATAAATATTAACCTAATATAATTTAACAATAGTGTATAAGTAGATTCATTAGATATATAGATAAAAAAATTAAGGAATACACCTTTTAGCTTTTATCTCACATTGTCAAAAAACATAACCTAAACACTCCAATATGCTTATATAAACTAACCCCATTAACATTTTCAACTCATGGAACAAATATGTATTAAATTATAATGTTAGTCCCTATAGTTTTATTTTTTAAATTTTTTTAAAGCATATTTGTTTAAAATGCTTTTAGGAAATTTGATGTGGCAAGAAACCCTTGGAAGGCATGCCCCTTGAAACACACCTTCTCATGTGGTGTCATGTCAACATTTTTCCTGAAAGGTTGTTCCAAGGGATGCACCTTTGGTCCACCTAAGCAAAGGTGTGTTTTACATAATGTGCCTTATTATTACTTTGTCAGAAATGGTGATAGATTGATAAAATTTTAGGAAATGGTGGTTGACATGTAATATTTTAATATTTGGGTTATTTTTGGGCAAAACAATGTCGATAACGTTGAGTTAACTTTGTTTATGAACTTAATTAAATTTTAATTAGAAATTAAATTTGATTTTATTATAATTGTAGTAATAAAAATTACTTGATGATTAAGTGTATGGTAAAGAACATGAAGAGTCCTCAAACTTTTAGGGCACTTGTATTTTGATCATTCAACTTTAAAACTTGTAATACATTCACCGAACTTTTAGTTCTCTTTCAGAAAGATCCCTAACATTACCTCCCGTTAGTTTGATCTAACATTTGGCTTAGGGTTTAGGCAACCAAAAGAAATAAATATGAATGACCAAAATGTAAGTACCCTAAAAGTTTGGGGACTATTTATGCATTTTACCCTTAAGTTTATTTAATAAAAAATTGTAGGATAAAATATACAAATAGTCCCTGATTATAGGGTGTTTTTGTTGAATCTCCCAACTATTAAAAGTTACAAAATGATCTTTAAATATAGTGTGTTGCTTTGTTGAGTCACTCGACTATTAAAAGATACAAAATGATCATCGACTATTCATATATTTCAAACTCGTCCTTTTATGTTGAAAATTTGACAGTCATCTGAGTTGAACATTAATATATTGACTGAGATATGATAGCATTTTGAAATCCTGGGATCCAACAAGTTAATGTTTAGCTCATACTGCAGACAATTTTTTAATGAAAAAATGACGAGTTTGGAACATATAAATATAAATAGTCGAGTGGTCATTTTATAACTTTCAATGGTCGGTGACTCAACAAAGCAACTTCTTATAGTCGGAAAATCATTTTATAACTTTTAATAGTCAATAGATTAATGAAAGCATCACACTATAGTTCGAGGATCATTTGTGTACTTTGGACAAAAAAATTGACCAATTATTTATCTTAGTCTATAAAATTATGAGAGATAATTTTCTAAAATAGATGTAATTTTTCATAGTTTATATAAATTTTGAAATTTGCATTGCAAATATGATTTTTGTAGGGATATTGAGAAAAATTTAAATGCATTAAATTTTAGTTTATATATCGAATTTTGGAATAATGACATGATCATATAGTTGTATTTTTTTTATGAACTCTACATCTAGAGTGAATAATAATTTTCTCATATCTAAAAATATATAATGTTAAACTATTTTTTTATTAAACTAAGGTAACTATAAAGTAATATATGTTTTAAATACTCTCAATTATTTGACAATAAATGATTTCAATCATCATGCTACAGTCGTTAGTGCTCGAACCCATGACCTCTAGAACAACAACAATTCATTTAACCACTAAGGTAAGTTGGTTCGTGTTAAGGTTAAACTATATTAAATCTTGTATTTTATGTGTAATTGTGTATCTTACTGTACATATATCGCTATAATTATTCTACGTGGATATTTTTTTTTGAAAGAATCGAGTTACATATATTTGAAATTGATAGAGATTCAATGAATGCCAAGATGAGTGAATACAAGCAAACGGGTTTATCGATTATCACCTAAAAACTTGATAGAACCCGTCTTCGAATTTTAAGGAAAAAGAATAGTTTGGAATGTAATGAATAGTCGGGTGATTATTTTGTAATTTTTAATAATCAAGGGATTCAACAAAGCAACTCCCTATCATCGAATGATTATTTTGTAACTTTTAATAGTTAAGGACTTAATAAAGCAATATGCTATAGTTAGGGGACCATTTATATTCTTTTTTTTTTAAAAAAATATATTAAAATTTTAAAAGGTATAAAATTATAAACTTTTAAAACATGTAAAATTAAATCATCTATATTATTTATACTATTCATTTATAAATCGAAGAATATTGTACATTTAAACAAGTTTGGACTAACGTATTTTTACATGTAATAAAAATGATGCCAATTGAACTAATTCAATTGGAGATAATAATTTGATTTATGAATTCAGATATTCATGAATATTTGGTATGTTTTCATATATTAGGACAACTTGCGGATTTAAATGTTGTTTTATTAATCTAAGATATTTACAAGTAGTAGTAATTGTTTTAAAAAATTTCAGTCATTTGATAAATAATGTTTAAATTAGGGATGGGCATGGGTCGGGTTTTTGGTCCACCCGACCCGACCAAAACAAGGTTTCACCCGACCCAATCCGATCTGAATATATGACTTAGAAACCTGATCCGACCCGAAATAATTAAAAAAAAGTATTTTTATTCAATAAAAACAGCGACTTAATTGAAAATAT